ATGAAAAAAAAAAATTTCCACATGAAATTTTAAATTTTTAATCCCCCCCCCTGAAAAAAGACATGACAGTAACATGACATTACTTTATTGAAGATTGGTAAATTTTGTGGGATGGGGGGGAGAGAGGTCTTAGGTTTAAAAAGGGGAACCCCCTTCCATTAAGACTTGAGGTGTAAAGCCCTTTTCCCGGGGTTATTTCCCTTCTTTTTTTAAATGCCCTGGACCAGTTTCAGAGTCATGGACTTCTGCGCAAAACATTTTGCCCATGGGGCCTGTACCCCCCGTTCCTTTATGATTTTCCTAAAGTGGTTTACAACATTGAGTGAAATAGTCCCCAGCACGGCTTCAATAGCTGTTTAGGGTGTTTGTCATCAAAAAAGGTTTGCACTTTAAGCCCATTGCACACATTTCCCTTAATCTTTGAAGTAGGCAATTTTTAAAATTTCTCTCTCCCCCCCTCCAAAACAGTTTCCTCAGGTGGGCCTCATGTGATGAAGATGACCTAGCAGCTCATCGTAGTTTGTTCTTTATTGTCCTCCTCCACCAACTCTTTTAATATCCCCCCTAACCTCCAACCCCCGGATTTCCCAAAGCCCAATGGATTCCTCAATGGGATAGGATTTTCCCGGGTTAGCCTCAAAAACCCTCAAATCCCTTTGGTCCACACTTTGGCCACAGTTTTTTCCAAGCAGAGTTCAAGGTCCTCTTTGTAACTCCCCCAAGCCTTTCCCTTTGGGTTTTTCACAATGGGATATTAAAATGTCTCTCCAAAAATCTCTTGGTCAATTGAGTTTCTGAGGGCACTCAAAGCACCCTTTTAAACAGAGCTTTTGGTACAGTTTTTTTTAAATTTCAATACCCCGTGGTCCATGGGGTGCGGAGAGGAATGGATTAGGAGGCAAAAAACTTCCCTTAATGAAGCTCATTCCCCACAAAATCACTCTGCTAGTCTGTAGGATGACCCGGGGCTTGTCAAAAAACCCGGAGGCATTAAGGTCTAAATTTTTTTTCGTTTGGTAATTTTTCCATTGGGGGCAAATGCTTGGTGAACCGTCATAGAAAAAGTCCCTAGTGAAACCCATGCCTTACTGTTTGCCCTCCACAGCACACAAAAATTAGCCTTGAGGATATTCTTTTGCCTGAACGCTCTGGGAGTTTCAGAGTGATACACTAATAAAGGCTTCACTTTGCAATCATCACTAGCATTGGAACACACAAGAAGAGTAAGCCTGTCTTTCATAGGCTTATGTCCTGGGAGTGCCTTTTCCTCCTGAGTAATGTAGGTCCTGCTTGGCATTTTCTTCCAAAACAGGCCTGTTTCATCACAATTAAACACTTGTTCAGGTTTCAGTCCTTCACTGTCTATGTACTCCTTGAATTCCTGCACATACTTTTCAGCTGCTTTGTGGTCCGAACTGGCAGCCTCACCATGCCTTATCACACTATGTATGCCACTACACTTCTTAAATCTCTCAAACCAACCTTTGCTGGCCTTAAATTCACTCACATCATCACTAGTTGCAGGCATTTTTTTAATTAAATCCTCATGCAACTTCCTAGCCTTTTCACTTATGATCACTTGAGAGATGCTATCTCCTGCTATCTGTTTTTCATTTATCCACACCAATAAGAGTCTCTCAACATCTTCTATCACTTGCGATCTCTGTTTCAAAAACACAGTTGAACCTTTGGCAAGAACAGCTTCCTTGATTGCCGTTTTCTTGGACACAATAGTAGCGATGGTTGATTGGGGTTTACTATACAACCTGGCCAGCTCAGAGACACGCATTCCACTTTCATACTTGCAATGATCTCTTTCTTCATCTCTATAGTAATTCTTACCCTTATTCCTGTAGGGTTGGCACTAGAAGCTTTCTTGGGGCCCATGGTCACTTATTTTGCAGATAAAATCACCAAAAACACTGTAATAATACGAAATGTTCCGATTGTATGCTTGGATGTTACCGCGGAGGCTCACATGTTCTGCCACCGGCGGAACATGTGAGGCTGGTTCAGGCCGCACATTAGATGCATCTCGGACGAATAGCGTTGAGCGGGTTTTTTAGCGGTATGCGAGGTAAAATCTTAGCGATAAAATGTATCGGTATGCGGATTTAACGTTATGTGATGCCAACGGTATGCGGGGGTCTACTGTATAGGGTTTGCTGCTATCCACAGTTTCAGTATCCATGGCAGGTCCTTGGAAAATCTCCCCCATGGATACAGGTGTCCTACTGTATAATAAAAAAATGCAATAATGAACCCAAGTACAGTGGAACCTCAAAAATCGAACTTAATTCGTTCCAGGAGCTGGTTCTAAATTCAAAAAGTCTGAAATTCGAAGCAATATTTCCCATAAGAAATAATGGAAATACAGTTAATCCGTTCCAGAAACCCAAAAATATTCACACAAAAAATACATTTTATAGAGATTAATTACAGTTTTACATACAACAAATACTATAGTTTTTATTATGTATAGTAATACATATAAAATAACATTTTTACTTACCTTTATTGAAGATTGGTGATGGCATCTGGAAGATAGGGAGGAAGAGAGAGGGAGTTGAGGTTAGTGTTTGGAAGGAGAATCCCCCTCCACGAGGACTTCAGGTAAAGCCCTCTCTGGGGTTACTTCCCTTCTCTGTCTTTTAATGCCACTAGGACCAGCTTGAGAGTCACTGGACCCCTGTCTCACTTAATAACTGTCCACAGTCCTCTGTTTCTGGTGCCTCTTTAACATTTCCCTAAAATGGGACATGGTTCTGTCACTGAACTAGTCGCAAAGATGGCTTGTTTCAGCTTGCTCAGGGTGGTACTTCTGCACAAACATTTGGACATCATTCCACTTGGCACAAATCTCCTTAATCTTTGAAGAAGGCACCTCATCCACTCCCTATATTAACACCTTTCCCAACATCAGCTTCCTTGATTTATTCTTTCTTTGACAGGATAGAACCGATGGTCGACTTGTTTTTCCCATACATCCTGGCAAGCTCAACAAGTCTCACACCACTTTCATACTTCTGTATTACTATTTCCTTCTTAACATCTATGGTGTTTCTCACTTTCTTTACCACAGGGGTACCACTAGCAAGTTTCTTTGGGCCCATGGCAGCTTATTTCACAGTCCCACAAGCACTAAACACAACAAAATAATCGTAAAATACGTGAATGAGAGCGCAGGTTAGTGTTCACTCAAGCATAAACAAAGCTAGACTGCTCACGGCGCCTGCACGGGGATGCGGACAGAGTGGGCGCCAGACAGGTCCCGTACCCAGCGGTCCGAAAATAGGGGCGCATTCGATAATAGGGACACAGTTTGTCCGAAAAAATGGTCCTATTTTCGAAACGTTCGATATGTGATACGTTCAATTTTTGAGGTTCCACTGTACTGAACTGTACACTCATTCAGACCAAATTGTAAAAATAAAGAATGCTTTCCTAATTATTATTATGTACAGTACTCTTACATTACAAAAAAACATAAAACTTGGATGCGTTGCTCAGATTTTGTCCTAAAAACTGTATCATTAATCTTTGACAACTGAGAGATTACTGGCTTGGAAAACTATAGAAATTACTAGTCAAAACTGTAGCGACCTCCTAATACTTAGCCAATACCTGCTGATACCCAGCCAATACCCACTCATACCCAGCCAACCACTTCAAACATATAAGTGTAGAAAAAGTAAATGAACTAATAAGTGTTAAACATTTGTATAATAGATCAAAAAAATCTTATCAGACATGGCTCATGGCTGCATATCAAGGCCTGGTGGCAAAATATAGTATCTGGGGTGTTAATTAGGAGGAGCAGGATCATTTTTCACCAGAATCAAACTGCCATAAAATATTATATTAATGGCATCTAATACTGACAAGTAAATGATTTAGACTCACATGCAACAGCTGTGTATCTCTATTGTTTCACTGCTCTGCAGATTTCCTTATCACACAAAAGGCAGAACTCATTTTGGATTGGGTGGATTATTATTATATTACTCATTACCAGAAGATGCTAAAGTAACCCGGTCTGAAAATCAATTTAATACTCTTCTCAAAAGCCACTTAATCACCCTAGACTAAATGCTAAATATACTCAGTACACACATATTCACTTATGTATTCTCACATCATAATTTCAACAATTACTTTGAACCTTTTATCCATTGTTGACAGGAATATAACTGAATCATTGTTTTCACAAAAAGCATTTTTGAATATATGAATATACCTTTTGTCTTATATAAATTAGATTCACTTATAATTAATAATCTACTGTACAACTATGATATAATTAATATTCTACTGTACAACTATGACATAATTCTTAGTGCTAAGTAGACTGTAAGCCAATAATGTTAAGTCGGCCCATAATGCCTAGGCATAATAGAGGCTCTCTTTGCATTGCAACCCATTATTGTAAATATAAAATCTCAATGTACTATCTGCAAAGACATAAATAAATAAATAAATAAATAAATAAATAAATAAATAAATATGAATGCACTAAACCCTTAAGGATCACAAACCACCTGGGAAATGGGAGGTAGCAATTCAGTTTAAAGGAAGGATGGGGTAGAAAAGTTCACTAACATTTTATTTTGGAAAAATAAATCAATACCTCTGTAATAAATTTATAACCACTATTGTGGGCTTCAGCTTGTTTCATAACGATGCTAACAAGTAAACCTACAAGCCTAGACTTGCCAAAATAGCATGAACATTATATGTCACACTCAGCACAGCAATGTAACATTTGTGTTTACTAAACAGATTATGCACTAGAAGTATAAATTTGTTCTCTAACAACTCCCACTTAATAATTTTCTTTGGAGAAAATTTTTATGCAATGAATACTTAATGATTTTCTTTAGAGCAAATTTTTATGCATTGAACACTTAATGTGATCGAGTGCCTGTGACCCAACCACAGTACACCTGATCGACAGTTCTGGAAGATGATAAGGAAACAAATTATTCCAAGAGTTCACTAACCTTTCACTGGTAATTTTTCTGGAATTTCATTAAGATGAAAGTGAAGATGAATACACGGTTGACATGATGGCTGCCCAGGACATTCTTTGTTGGAGTTACTACTTTGATTCTTTTTTTCTGCAGAGTCACAACATGGCATATCATTTTTATTTTTATCAAAGTACTTTTCCACTGCCATATCTACCAACTGTGCAAAGATATTATCATCAAAGATTTCTGAGTCAACATCATTATCATCAACTTGCTTCCTTAAATGTGAAAGTTCAGCATTTTCTTTGCTTTGAACATCACTTCGTGTCGCATTATCTATATTACATTCTAACTTCTTTAAATTATGAATTTCAGTTGTCACTGTATTAATATTATCATTTTGATGAAGTGTGGTAGGCAAGTCTTCAAGAGAACATCTTGTAGTATCACTATATTCATCATTGTTCGACACATTGGTTTCATTCTCCTTATAATCTGGCTGGAGGGTTCTCCTTGCCAGATTTACATCAAAAACTTCTGCATGATGATCTGAGGCATCATCATCCAAGCTAAGCATTTCTGTCCTCTGAGAACTGGGAGCTTCAGTGAATAAAACTGTCTTTACATCATCTTCAAGATAGTGCTGAGTAGTTTTGAGTACAGACCCCAGATCAAGATTTGGGATTTCTGCATTTTCCAAAAATTAACTGAATCATTTCCTTTACAAACTTTGCTTGGTGAAGAATGTTTACTGATGCTATTAAAATGCTTAGGTTTACTAAATTCATTACTAGATGAACTTACATCAGATGAATGCTTGTTTTGCAACAGTTCCTTTGCTGAAAAAATTTCAGTCGAATCATCACTAGTATCATCTGAATCAAGAATGAACAGTGGTATACTGTTATCTAAATCTAAATTTACATGTCCATCATTCAACTCACTTTGTGAGTTGATACTACAAGATTTTTTGTTTTTTCCTGATGAATTAAAAGTGGATTCTCTGAGTTTCGAGGGACCAGCTACTGCCACGTCTTCATAGCCTGAGTCTTCACTGGGGGAGTGAAGTTTCTTTTTTTTGTTCTGATCTTGTTTCTTACTTTGAGAGAGATTGTGAGTTAATGCACCCACATGCTGAGAATGCAGTTCTGCAAGGGTCTTGTGTGTGCTGTTCCAAAAGTGACTTTCAGATATTGAACAACATTCAATACCATCTTTACATTCTGCAAATAAAATGAAAGAAAATATAAATTAGTCATACAGTGGTAATATTAAGCCAATCTAATAAAGTATCCTTATCCAATGTTACAATAAAGCACAGATCTTAAGGTACAAATTTTTATTAAAGTTTTTAAAAAAGTGCAAAATAATAAATACTTTAAACATTACAATAAGGAAAAAGAATTGTGGAAATATACAGAATTGTATACAAAAGAATCATAATTCATTTATATACCAAGTTTAGTGTCAAACATATGCTGGTACTGAATTCATACAAAAAATTAAGAATGTCCTCACCCTACACTCCTAACAATTTCATTAAAAATGAATGCAACATAATTCTTGCTTAGCCTAACCTAGCTACACATGAGTTACACTTAAGTAAAATGAAAGACAGCCATCCCATAATTTATTCACAGCCTTTCCTCATCATACTCCACAAGCACTTGGTTTCCCATCAACTAGGCCATGCTAGTGGCTTTTATGTTTTTACCTTGTCATAATTATGAGATAATATAGTACTCCCCATTTTGATGCTGTATTTTTTTAACTCAATAGCTGTCTTCTACCAGAGCAGAGTCACCCAAAGAAGAAAGCCCACATCATCATGTATTCAATCAGGAATGTACTGACATCACAATCAGACTATCCTCAGACTGCAACATCTACACCCCTCCTTCAGAGTGGAGGCAATATCCTTACCACTTCCAGGATTCAAGTCCGGCAAACTGGTTTCCCTGAATCCCTTTATAAGATACTTTGCTCTCCATTTTAGATTTAAGTTATTTATTAAATGAGGTTACATATATTTAAGCTTAACAATTTTGAAGTATGTAATTTAATTTAAAAAATTTAAATGAACCTAAGGTTGGGTATTTACAGCTGGAGACAGTATGTACATATTTTTAACACACTAGCTGTTTAAAACCAAGGAAGGGTAACCCAAAAATAGGAAACATTCATCATTCATTTATTCAACCTTTGTCTTGCCAGAAGTGTGCAGACATCACAATTCAAATGACCCCTCTGAACTGTAACATGCTAACACCTCCTTCAGTGTGCAGGAACTATACTTCCCACACTCAGGACATAAGTCCAGCTAGACACTTTCCCTGAATCCCTTAACTGTTACCTTGCTCACACACCAACACATTAAACCATAAGAAAACCTCTGTTAACTTTTTTTTTTCTTTTACCACACTTTTTTTTTTACTTCATCACCCACAAGAACACCCACACCCACTCATAAGAAGGAAGGAGCATTGAAGCAGACCTACTGGCCCAAGCCAGGCAGGTCTAAAACTCACACCCCCTCATGTACAATGGCCTGGTGGCGTTTGCCACCAGGTCACCGTACATGAGTGGGCGTGGGTAAGTGTGAGTTAGAACCTGGACCCTCACACGATGAGGGTCTAGGTTCGATTCTCGGCGAGGGTTGAAACATTGGGCGTGTTTCCTTACACTGGTTGTCTACGTTCACCCATCAGTAAAATGGGTACCTGAGTGTTAGTCGACTGGTGTGGGTTGCATCCTGGGACAAAACTGACCTAATTTGCCCAAAATGTTTTGCATAATAAGCAGTTTTCTATATACATGTAGTAGTATGTCACTGATGTCAGCTAGGCCTGTACACCTTGTACATGTACTTGTAGAAGACATTATTATTATTATTATTATTATTATTATTAACCAATTTTACAAGCTGCAAAAGGTGTTTGCTTCAATGACTTTACTCGGGAGTTTGTGCCACTCATCCATGACTCTATTAATGCTTTCCAATATCCTTTTAAATCTAAATTTTTCCAACCAGAACCCGCTGCTGCAAGTCCTGTCTTGGTTAGATATTTTCAGCATGTTATTTATTTATTTCTATTTTCCATTTATATATCTAAATCATATCCTTCCTAATTCTACACCATTCTAGAAAATGCAGACTCAGTGTCCTCAGTCTGATAAATAGGATCAACTTTGTCATCTTTCTTTGTATGCTTTCCCGAGTACATGTATTTATGTCCATTCTGTAATACGGTGACCAGAACTGCACAGCGTAATCTAAATGAGGCCTAACCAACGATATATAAAGATGAAGAATAATTTGAGGATGCCTGTTATTTATACTTCTTGTTATGAAGCCAAGAATTCTTTTGCTTTATTGGAAACACTTGCTCACTGTTATCTTGGCTTTAGATTCCTGCTAACCATTATTTTGCATTCAGAGTGATTAAAGTCTACATTATTTAGTTTATAAGTGCCATAGTTGTTTTCTTTTCCAAGGCTTAGCATTTGCATTTGTTTATATTAAACTGCATCTGCCACTTCTCCAACCAAAACATCAATCTATGCAGATTTTCCTGTAGGGTTCTAGTGTCCTCGTTAGAATTAATCCGATTAATTACTTCTCTTCCCCCTGCATCAACCCTCCTAAACCCAAAAGCTTCAGCTGCACAGTCTAGCACTGCTTTCTTAATTAAATTTATTCCATATATTTTTGACCTCCTACCCTTTGCCTACACTAAACCACCTAGTCATTGTGATATTTTGAGATATTTCAAGTGCACAGCAGTTTTTTGTTTAACCTAATACAGAGGCATAGGGACAGAGACTCTTATAGTGGAGCCAATGGAAGAAGTGGAGAGATGCAACGGTTGCAGACTTGATTACGTGTGGGTGGGGTCACTTGTGAAGTAGGTCATGCCCATATGATGAGTGAGATTAGCAATGGAGTCACAGCAGATATTTTTGGAACAAAGATTCCATGGTGTTACTGTGTTGCCTGACACCAGAGAATCTTCATGCATAGAATTTCTTCTATAACTTCACTGTAAAATCTCTGACTGACCCTATGGGGATAACCTACTTCTATGAGTGGGCCTTGCCCACAACTGATGAAGTCTACAACTGCTGCATTTCCACTTCTTCCACTGGCTCCATTATAAAAGTCCCTGCATTTATTCACCTGCTCTGCAGGTAAATTTTTATTGTATATTTAGGGAAAAGCACCAAACCCTTGGGGGTCATACAGTGCCTGGGAAATGGGAGGGAATCGGGTTCAATCCAAAATAGGGGAGCACAAGAGACTCTCACCAGCATCAAGAACTCCCTTGAGTGGTGTGCATGTGAAACCTCTCTCAATAATGATGCCGAGGTGTTACACATGTCTTATTCAACAATTTGCCGGTATTAAAGGTGCACATCCCTTTATCCAAAACCCTTGAAGCCTGTACTGTTTCAAATTTCAGACTTTTTCGAATTTCAGAATGATTCTCAACGCCGCCATGTGGCAGCGTGACCCAGCACAGAGATGACTGATGCTGCACACTCCACGAAAAAACTTTGGTTTTTGGAACTTTTCGAATTTCAGAATTTCGGATAAAGGGATGTGGACCTGAATATACCTTTGATCTAGGGATACTAATTTATAGTTCATTATAATCAGGAGGAAGCACTAAACCCATAATGGTTATGTAAAACTTTGGGAATGGGAAGAATTCAGGGAAAAGATAACTCCAGTTCCTTCGATTAATTTATAGTACCTTCTTTAATGGAAAAATCTAAATCCAAGCACTCATCCGTGTGAAACACTCGTGACTTCCCAGTTCTATCATATTCCTTCCATGGCATCATACATGAAGGGCAGACATCACTATCTAGCTTGTCTAGTTCAGCTGTCTTGTGGTCATTCTCTGGGAGACCACTTTCAACACTCTTCCTCTTCCCTATGGTTGCTGTTGCACAAGAAGTGTTTGCTTTAACATTGTGTGAGCTTGATGTCAGTTTATTTTCACATGCTTTTGAAGAAACTCTTAAGTGATTAACTGAATTCTTCCTCTGAGATAAAGAAAGTCGAGAAGGTTTTCTTTCCCGCAGCTGTGATGAGCTCTGGGTCCTGTAATGTAAAAATTCCTTTGCAGGTATTGCATACAATAATATGGTATAAAATAAATCACTAAATTGTAATAGAACAACAATATCACTACATGGTAATGATTTTTCCCCAAACTTTCATGTTATTCATGATAAATCTAAATTCTGAACCAATAGTTTATGGAGAAATAATTTACTTACAAGTAAGTAAATCCAAACTGCTTCATAAATATTCTTGAATTTGGAAAAACATGTTTAAATAGTATTTTGCAAGGAGAAGGCTAAAAGTATTTTGTCTATTTTTATCCAATACGTACTGTGTACGTACCGTATTTTGATCTTAAATACACAGTGGTACCTCAATATACGTCTGCTTTGGAACAAGTCCAACTTGGTATACGATCTGTTTGGACATAAAAATTTTTGCTTGGTATACGACCTTAGTTTGCAATACGACTCGTGTTCTAGAACTTGTATGGATCAAAGATGAATCATGAAACTGCGTACTAGGATACTGTCTCTCTGGGCAGGTCCATGGATCTGGATGTGAGTGATGGTGATGTGGAGGAGTTAATGGAAAGGCACAGGGAAGAGCTGACCACTGAGGAGCTGCATTAATTTGAGGAGAGGAGCACAAGACTAAGATGGATGCACTCTCTTCAGGCTCAGAAGAGGAGATAGAGGAAGCCCCTACTTCATTAACCCCTTGACTATCACAACCCCAAATCCTGAGGTGTCTCCTGGTGTTGCAAAATTTCTGAAAAAAAAAAAAAAAATTTTTTTTCTTATTAAAAATGATACAGGATCTTCTCCCGATTGTAATGACACCAAAAGAACGAAATTTGATGGAAAACTGATGGAATTATGCTTTCGCGAAGGTAGTGACCTTGGCGATATTTACGAATCGGCGATTTCACCCACTTTGAGCCCTATTTTCGGGTAATTCCAATGTTCCAGTTGACCAAACTCATAGCTATTTCTTTAGAACTCCATTTTTTCTATCGATTGAGTACAAGAAACTGCCCATTTACTGATTTCAAGTACCCAATAATGTGGTCAGAAATTTGCAATTTGGCCAATTTCACGAAAATTAAAAAATATGACAATTTCAAAACAGGGTCCAGAATGAACAATGCAGACATTCCTGGCTCTAAAATAACATTTTCTTTGTTCATCAGTCATGTCTTCAGGCCCCTCTGATATTACTCTTGCTTTCTATTTTGAATTTTTATTCAAACAAAAAATAAAAGACTTACTGTTATGCAGACTACTGCAACATTGTAATAATTGTATAAATAATGTCAACCCATTCATGACTGCATATTAGAAAGGCTACTTGGGCATTTATTGGAAAATGACATCGTTTGTTTACTTTTGAACATCGGCAAAAATCAAACATTTCCCCTACTTTTCTTAGTAAAACCAATGAAAACCACCTCTATTTCTATAATATGTTTTCCATTCTATCAAATGAGACCAAGAAAACGAGAATACAACCATAAATACTATATGAAAATAGACCACAAAGTCGGCATTTTAATTTAAAAAAAAGGTCAGTTTTTTTTTTCTCATTATGTACTGCATGCTGCAGGATTTTTTTTATATGCTGCACACTGATCACACAGACCCATTCTCTCACATGTGAGCCTACCAGCTTTCTCCTGCTTGATCTGAAGCCGCTAGAATTTATGAGTACATATATATGTATGTCAAAATCGGTGGCTCGTAAGACGTACATATACGACCAAAACAGTCAAAGGGTTAATCAAGGAAATCTTTGCCAAACAGATGGATGTCAAAAACTTTGCAGAGAAGTAATACCCCAACAAAGCCCAAACAAGCTGTAACAGCATTGTCTGAAATGACCAGACAATGTCACATTTCCGAAACATCCTGAGAAGGCAGAAGCAAAGTTCTTTGGACAGAGTTTTAGTAAAAGTCAAACCTGGTGAGCTTCAACCAGATCTAAATAGGAAAAAAAGACAGAAAAGAGAAGGGGACTCTCCTTCCAAACAATAACATTCCCTCCTCCTCCTCCTTCCTTCTCAGCACTATCCTAGTAGGCACTCAACTCTTTTCAGCAAAGTGAGGTTAAATTTGCATTTATTTCATCTAATTCTTTTGTATTTATGTATGTATTTTAGTATTAAGCAGTGTTTAAATTACATATCTTAGTATTAAGCAGTGTTTAAATTATTTTATACAACCCCATCAATACATAATATGCCAATAACAATAGGATTTTTTTCATGGGAATGGATTAATAGTTTTCCCTATATTTCTTATGGGAAAATTCGTTTATTATCCGTCCTGTTTGGTATAAGTCCAAGGTCCTGGAACAGATTAAGGGCGTATACCAAAGTACCACAGTAATTTAAAATAATGAACATGTAGTACTGTATATGTAAATAAATAAATACAAGGTGTGTTTGTGTGTATGTACTCACCTAATTGTGCTTGCAGGGGTCGAGCCTCAGCTCTTGGCCCCGCCTCTTCACTGATCACTACTAGGTCCTCTCCCTCTCTGCTTCCTGAGCTTTGTCAGACCTCTTCTTAAAACTATGTATGGTTCCTGCCTCCACTACTTCACTTGCTAGGCTATTCCACTTCCTGATGACTCTATGACTGAAGAAATACTAATGTGTGCATGTACTTGCATGCATGCAAGAGTGTGGGGTGGAAATCTTCAGTTCAAGATCTTCACACATCTCCATGCATCATCGTGAGCTATGTAATGTTACATTTATGTATATAGTATATGTGAACAAATGAATATACAATACTTACCGACTCCTGTATAGTGGCGTGTAACAGAAAATGTCTTCCTCATCGTCGCTACTCATGTTGTATATTTCAAGATTGCCTAGGGGAAAATATAATGTTATTATTTCTAAAGAGTGAAGGAAAACGTTAAACTAATATGGGTCATACTGAGCTGCTAAAAATAATTATAGTACTGTACTGTAAAATACATCTGTAAGGAAAACTATATACAATACAGTGGACCCCCGCCATATGAATGCATTGCGTTACGTTAAATCCGCCATACGAAGCATTTGAAAGCAAAAATTTTGCCTCGCCTCATAATAAAAAACTCGCCTTACGTGATTCGTCCGGGATGCGTCCTACGTGTGGCCTCAGCACCAGTGTTTACAAGCCAGCCAGTGCGGTCACATCTACGCATACATTCGGTACATTTCACATTATCCCAGTGTTTTTAGTGCTTGTAACTGTAAAATAAGTCACCATGGACCCCAAGAAAGCTTCTAGTGCCATCCTTGTGGTAAAAAGGGTGAGAATTAGTATGGAATTGAAAAAAGAGATTAAGGAAATGTTTGCAAAGTGGGTTGAACTGCAAACCTTTACGGATGAAAATCACCCTGACACAGCTACTGCAAGCCGTGTTGGCAACCTGTACAATGACAATGTTATGGCCCATTTTAGGAAAGTCTTAAAGGAATGGGAGGTACAGAGCTCTATGGACAGATACGCTGTGCGACAGAGGTCCAGTGACTCTCAAGCTGGTCCTAGTGGCATTAAAAGAAGAAAGGAAGTAACCCTGGAAAAGGACTTGCTACCTCAAGTCCTAATGGAAGGGGATTCCCCTTCTAAACAATAACTTCCACACTCTCCCCTCCTCCCATCCCATCAATCATCACCAGATCTTCAATAAAGGTAAATGTCATGTATTCTATTCTTAGTAGAGTAGTAATTGTGCATGTCTTCTTCAGTTTGTGTGCATTAAAACTAATATTTCATGTGGTAAATTTTTTTTTTTTTATACTTAGGGGTGTCAGGAATGGATTAATTTGATTTCCATTATTTCTAATGGGGAAAATTAATTCAGCTAACGATAATTTCGGCTTGCGATGAGCTCTCAGGAACGGATTAATATTGTAAGGCGGGGGTCCACTGTATACAGAATACCACCAGTACTACTACTACTGTACCTATTAATGCTCACAGTTCTTACCAACTTATTTTAATGCATAAATACATACAATGCAAATACTTACAAATCATCATAAAATTTAAACAAAGAAATATTCTCAAAACTTTAACTCACAAGATGTAAATATTTTCAGTTGGGCATTTATGTTTCTGTTTGGTTGAACTGTAGTAATGAACTAATTTTGACATAATGCTTACTAGATAACATACCCTGGCATATACTCAGTAATCCTATTTACTGTGTATTATCCATCTATATATAAATGGAGTAGAAAGAGAAGTGAATGCTCAGGTGTTGGCAAGATGTGTGGTTAAAAGATAAAGAATCTAACACAAAGTGGGAGTTGTCACAGTTGCTATTTGCTGATGACACTGTGCTTTTGGGAGATTCTGAAGAGAAGTTGCAGAGGCTGGTTGATGAGTTTGGTAGGGTATGTAAAAGAAGGAAGTTAAAGTGAATATAGGAAAGAGTAAGGTGATGAGGATAACTAAAAAATTAGGTAATGGAAGATTGGATATCAGATTGGAGGGAGAGAATATGGAGGAGGTGTATGTGTTCAGATATTTGGGAGTGGATGTGTCAGCAGATGGGTCTATGAAGGATGAGGTGAATCATAGAATTGACGAGGGGGAAAAGGCGAGTGGTGTACTGAGGAGTCTGTGGAGACAAAGAACTTTATCCATGAAATTTTAATACTAAACCTTTCATTGCTTGTTAATTTTAAGTTAATTTTAAGCCTGTCCATAATGCTCTGCATACAAGGGGCTTTTGGCATGTACACCCAACTACTATAATTCTTGTACAACTATGTATCATGTTCAAATAAAATATATGAATATATGAATGAATATGAATATGAAAGCAAAGAGAAGAATGTGTGAGTGTATAGTTATACCAACGCTCTTGTATGGGTGTGAGGCATGGGTTGTGAATGTTGCAACAAGGAGAAGGCTGGAGGCAGTGGAGATGTCATGTCTGAGGGCAATGTGTGGTGTGAATATAATGCAGAGAATCTGTAGTATGGAAATTAGGAGGAGGTGTGGGATTACCAAAACTATTATCCAGAGGTCTGAGGAGGGATTATTGAGATGGTTTGGACATGTAGAGAGGATGAAACAAAATAGAATGACTTCGAGAGTGTAAAAATCTGTAGTGGAGGGAAGGCGGGGTAGGGGTTGGCCTAGGATAGGTTGGAGGGAGGGGGTAAAGGAGGTTTTGTGTGCGAGGGGCTTGAACTTCCAGCAAGTGTGTGTGTGAACGTGTTAGACAGGAGTGAATGGAGACGAATGGTTTTTAGGACTTGATGTGCTGTTGGAGTGTAAGCAAGGTAACATTTATGAAGGGATTCAGGGAAACCAGCAGGCCGGACTTAGAGTCCTGGAGATGGGAAGTACAGTGTCTGCACTCTGAAGGAGGGGTGGTAATGTTGCAGTTTTATAACTGTAGTGTAGGCATGCCTCTGAAAAGACAGTGATGGAGTGAATGATGATGAAAGTTTTTTTTTTCGGGCCACCCTGCCTTGGTAGGAAATGGCCGATGTTTTAATAAATAAAAAATATTCATCTTTCTACTCATGACTTGGTTAAAAGATTTATTACAGAGGGTTAAATAAAACAGCTCATTGGAATTATATGTGCACAACGAAACTGGCCAGGGCTTGTTAAGAATGGGAAAATTTAGATAGGAAGGCAGGCTGGAGTTAAAGATTAGCAGATGAGTGTGGTGGCCCTACAAGGTGAGCAAGGTGGAGCTGTCTGGTTGGGTGGGTAAAACAAAGAGCTGAATCTACAAATACTGATCAGATTATTATATTCATGAAGAAACGTCAAATCGGAAGAGGTCACAACTCCTGGGGAATAGTAGGTAATCAGGTTATAAGTAAGTAAGTAAATAAGTGTATTCAGGCATACACAAATACAGTTACATATATTATCATATGTGTAAAGTACCTAGGATAATCCAAAAAAGTCAAAGTGACTTATTTCCATTGGGATTTGATCCAATGAAGGAGGTAGCTCCAATTCCTTGAATCAAAAAGTTTCACAAGCATTAAGATACCCACCTTGCAGGGAATACAGGCTTGAAGAACAGATATACAGCAAATAGCATGGCTTAACTAGGGTCTCAATATAAGACAGCAACTCACTGTGTCTGCAGCTGCTGCAACAGTGAATGTTGACCTCTCATATTTTGTCTTTGCTTTGGGGGGGGGGCAAACACACAAAGTTGAATTACTTAGTTGTTTTAACTTTAAAGGATTAAATAATAAGATATTACAGGGAACCCAATGGAAATACGTCACTTTGACTTTTTTGGGTTATCCAAGGTAATCCATATATTCTGCTATGTATGATAGTTTATGTAAGTGCATTTATGTGTATTTATACGTGAATAAAGTTACTCTCTCTCTCTTTCTCTCTCTCACTTACTTACTTGGGTTAGATTTACATTTTATAAAATGCTGTTAAGTACAAAGAAAGCCATTAACATGCCAGTGCATTTTGGTCAGACTAAATCTAATTCTTACAGACTACTTAAAACTAGACATAGGTTACAGAGTGGTAAATTTTAATTATTTTACCTTATTACTAAAGTGAGGTGGGCAAAAATTTTGTAATTAATAAAATTTGTACATTGATATAACCCTATAATGACAGGAACAAGAATACAAATTACTTAAATTGCTAAGTAAGTTTATTTAGGTACAGATACACACAAATAGTTACACAAATTATCATACATAAGTAACATGTGTAAATTACCTAAGATAACCCAAAAAAAAAAAATCAGGCAAAGTGACTTATTCCATTTCCTAACTGAAAAAAAAAAATACTGTCCTGTTTTAAGAGCCAATATTGCCAATATTGTATCTCTATACTACTGAAATGCAAAATGCAATAACGTAAATTCCCTGTCAAGGATTTCTGAGTTAACACCTAAATACACATGTATTATGACATGATATTATAGTCTAAATATTACATAATCTTATCAGGACCTGCATTTCGTCTACTTCCTCCCTAATTTTTTCACCACAAAACTGGTTATAAATCCGCGGCGCATTCTCAAAAAGCACTGTGGCTATGAACCTCTAGAACTCAAGCTTTTAAGCTGTCATGCTCCTGACAGAAGCTATAAAAGAAGCTTTACACCTACTTTTCGAAAAGTGGTGCAATCTTGCAATATTGTTGTTGTTGTTGTTGTTGCTGTTGGACTGTAGGGTTCATACGGCCTGAGTTCCAAATTTCTTTTGCATTTTCAAACAAAGAGCTGTTAGTAATTAACCTTTATTTATTTACTACAAGTACATGTGATAATAATATAATATAATAATATCTTTATTTACTAGAAGTACATGTACATGGTATACAGGCCTAGCTAACATCAGTGACATACTACTATACAAAAAGCAGCTTGTTAAGTAGAGCATTTCGGGCAAATTAGGTCAATTTTGTCCCAGAATGCGACCCACACCACTCCACTAACACCCAGGTACCCATTTTACTGCTAGGTGAACAGGGAGGGACAGCAGGTGTAAGAAAACACGCCCAATGTTTCCACCCGTGCCGGGAATCGAACCACGGACCCCTCAGCGTGTGAAGCGAGAATTTATTACATTTACGCCTCTGTTTTCTTTTGACTACCACCCACAGAACTTGCATGGGGTACGTAATAAAGATTATCGCTAAGCTTTAAATAATAAATTATTGCAGGAACCCAAATGAAGAGAAGTAACTTTGACTTTTGTGGGGTTATCCTAGTTAATATACACATGTTAAAATGTGTATTATTACTGTATTCACCTGAATTATGTGTTGCTGTACCTAAAGAAACTTAATCAGGTAGTAAAGCTGGATACTGTGGAAGCCGTCACTGGCCCTTACAAACCTAACAAGAAGAAGACGAGAAGAATTTTGAAATATCTTGGAGAAGAAATTATCGAAGAAATTTCTAAGCTGCAGCAGGAATTTGGTAGAAGTAGCACACAACTGTAGACAAGTTCAACGATGTATGAAGTTCCTTATTTTGCTAGTTTTCGTTCAGTTTAAGTCGTGTACAAAAGGTGTTACAGTATATATGAGTAAATTACATTTGAAGTGAAAGACATGATATTGCTTATATATAGGTGACGCTAAATATTAATCTGCATATTCCTACTTGTAAGTCCTTTGTGCCTCAATGAATATTAAATCCCATTGTTTGGCCTTATTGGGTTATTCTTTGGTCAAATTTCCCAGCAAGGAAGGTTCCTTGACGCTGGTGAGGGGCTCTTGATCTAGGGGATTGGATCTGTGCTCCAGTTCCCTGAATTGAACCTGAATGGCTTCCCCCCCCCCCTCAAGGAAGGTTCCTTGATGTTGGTGAGGGGCTCTTGATTTAGGGAATTGGATCTGTGCTCCAGTTCCCCGAATTAAGCCTGAATGCCTTCCACATCCCCCCCCAGGCGCTGTATAATCTTCCGGGTTTAGCGCTTCCCCCTTGATTATAATAATAATAATCCTCCCCCCCAAATGGTGCTGTATAGTCCCTACAGGTTTAGCGCTCCCCCATGGTAATAATAATTTGGTCACATTCTGCATAATTTACAGTATAGAGTTATTGTAAAAGTTTGAAATTGTGTATGAAGGTCTAAATAAGAAATTTACTCAGACTTCATTAATAATAATAATAATATTAATACTAATAATAATCTTCATGTCTACCAGTACATGTACAAGATATACAGGCCTAGTTGACATAATGACATTCTACATATAGAAAGCCCCTTGTTTTGCAGAGCATTTCGGGCAAATTAGGTCAGTTTTGTCCCCAGGATGTGACCCACACCAGTCCACTAACACCCAGGTACCTATTTTACTGCTAGGTGAGCATGGACAATAGGTTTCTTAAGGAAACATGTCCGAATGTTTCCACCTGTATCAGGGATCGACCCCCAGACCTCAGCATGTGAGCTGAGTGCACTATCAATTGAGCCTTATCCCCTTAAGGAAGGTGGCTTGATGCTAGTGAGTGGCTCTTGATCCAAGGAATTGTACATGTCATTCCCCCTACTTGAATGACACCACATTGCTTCCCATTCATTAGGTGCTGTATTACTTCTGTGGGTTTAACACATCACTATAATTTTTTATTTTATTTTATTATTTATTATATTATTGTTTTAATATTTTAATAATAGCATTATTATTAAAATAATAATAATATTATTAAAATAGAAGTATGGTGACAACTCTGTTCAGATTATTATTATTATCGTCATTATTGTCATTGTTATAATACAATATGCACATGTGAAGACACTTTTGGACACATTCCCAAGGGTGTCCAAGTTATAGAAAACCAGTGGTGGGCACAGTTCTGCTAATTAGCAGAACTAACTTTTTGTTTAGTAGATTAGCGTTCCCGCTAACATCAGAAACCGTTAGTGGACCAATTACCTTTCGTTAAATAAAGTTCCACTAAAAAAATTAACATGGTGCTGTTAGTCGGAAAGCAATGCTTTTTCAATGGCGCACGTGCTCATTCCCATCTGTTGTGGGCATTTCTCCAACAGTCAGTCAGTCACACTCTTGGCTGACTACGTGTAAGCGTGACTTGTCAATGCAGCAGCAGCAGCATCTTTACAGCTACTGCTGTTAAGCTATTTTTGCTGTACAGAGGTAGCCAAGTAACATGTTTACAGTATCATATATTAAGTGAGCAATAGAGATAGGCCTAAAAAAATGCATATACAGTACACACATTACTTACCTTAGACTGTTTTTGTCCTTGGCTTATAGTGGTTTGTGAATACGTATATTTATTGTAGGAAGACCGAATAAATGAAGAAGGGGTATAATTGAAAACCGCTGCATTAGTGAAACACTGTAAATCGGGACCCTCCTATTTTTGTGTACATAAGGTCCTACTGTATTCTCATTTCTGTTATTCAAAAATATTGTTTTATGTACAATGGTACCTTTACTTAAGAGTGCCCCAACTTATGAGTTTTCTGAGTTACTAGCCGTTGCTTGGTCAGTTTTTCGCTTTGAGTTGTGAGCCAAAATCCAAGTTGTGAGCGAGTTTCAGATATGCTGCCACTAGTTGGCACATCGAATGCCACAACATCTGCCCAGCATCCCACGTCTCACTCACTTACGGCACATGGTTACCTCGCCGTGGGAGCATCTCTTTTTTGTTGTGCTTGCATTTTGTGCTTTTTGTGCAATTATTTTGCCAAATTTCTTTTTTCTAACCATGGGTCTTAAGAAAGTTAATGCCTGCATCGAATGACGCCAAAATCGGATAACACCTCGCTTTGGCATAAAAAAATTGGCTTGGCTAGCACCTAAAAAACTCTGTTAGGAGCTTTCGTCTTGAGCAGCGAAACAGGCCTGTTTTGGAAGAAAATGCCAAACAGTTCATACATTACTCAGGAGGAAAAGGCACTCCCAGGACACAAGCCTATGAAAGACAAGCTAACTCTAATGTTGTGTAGTAATGCTAGTGGGGATTGCAAAGTGAAGCCTTTACTCGTGTATCACTCTGAAACAATATTGTCAAGACTAAATTGTGTATGATGTGGAGAGCAAACAGTAAGGCATGGGTCACTAGAGACGTGTTTATTGGCTGCTTCTATGATGTGTTTGGCCCCACTGTGAAACAGTACCTCCTGGAAAATAAATTGGAACTCAAGTGACTCATGGGAATGGACAATGCTCCTGCTCATCCTCACGACTTGCAAGAGCAAATTGCGGGGGAGTTGAGCTTCATCAAAGTGATGTTTTTACCTCCTAATACTACTCCTCTCCTCCAGCCCATAGACCAGCAGGTCATTTCAAATTTCAAAAAACTGTACACCAAAGCAATGTTTCAAAAGTGCTTTGAAGTGACCTCAGACACTGAATTGACCCTAAGAGAGTTCTGGAAAAATCACTTCAGTATCCTCAGTTGCATGAACCTTATAGGTAAGGCTTGGGAGGAAGTGACTTGTAGGATTTTGAACTCTGCTTGGAGAAAATTGTGGCCACATTGTGTACAAGAGAGGGATTTTGAAGGGTTTGGAGCTGACCCTAAGGAGCCTATGCCAGTTGTGGAATATATATTGGCATTGGGGAAGTCCAAGGGTTTGGAGGTTAGTGGCGAGGATGTGGAAGCGTTGGTGGAGGACGATGATGAAGAGCTAACCACTACAGAGCTGCAAGAGCTTCAGGTGCAACAGCAACAGACCAAGGCTCAGGGATTTCCTTCAGAGGAGGAGGAAGAGTGACAGAGGAATTTGCTTTCATCAAAGATTAAGGAAATGTGTACAATGTTTACAAAGTTGCAAGCATTTATGGATGAATATTATCCTGACACAGTTGTTGCAAGCTGTATTGGCAACTTGTACAATGACACTCTTGTGGCCCATTTTAGGGAAATCTTAAAGGGATGTGAGAAACAGAGCTCTCTGGACAGATATTTTGTGCAACAGGGGTCCAATGACTCTCAAGCTGGTCCTAGTGGCATTAAAAAACAAAGAAGGGAGGTAACCCCAGAAAAGGACTTGTTACCTGAAGTCTTTATGGAAGGGGATTCCCCTTCCAAACAATAAAACACCTGCATCCTCTGCCCTCCTACCATCTCATCACTCATCAACAAGTCAACAATAAATTAGACACATGTGCAACTCTTGGGTATCTTTATTGAGGAAACGTTTCGCCACACAGTGGCTTCATCAGTCCATACATAGGAGAAACTTGAAGAACAGGAGGAGAATGAGGTAATCAGTCCCTCAACCTTGAGTCGATGTGTTCAGTCCATCAATCTTGAGTAGAATACGGCAGATGAGCGGAGAAGCAGCTTATAAACCGTATGGCAGGAGAGGTGCAGCAGTCATAGGTGGTGTTACATTTGTTCAATGTGGAAGTAGGTTGTGCCCAAGAATTAGGCAAGCGAAGAATTCCTAAGTATTAAGATCCCAAGAAGTTGCAGTGTCTGACAGGTTTGTAGATGAATGGTTCAGAGAACCGACATGTTGATAAATTAGACACATGTGCAACTCTTGGGTATCTTTATTGAGGAAACGTTTCGCCACACAGTGGCTTCATCAGTCCATACATAGGAGAAACTTGAAGAACCTATGACTGCTGCACCTCTCCTGCCATACGGTTTATAAGCTGCTTCTCCGCTCATCTGCCGTATTCTACTCAAGATTGATGGACTGAACACATCGACTCAAGGTTGAGGGACTGATTACCTCATTCTCCTCCTGTTCTTCAAGTTTCTCCTATGTATGGACTGATGAAGCCACTGTGTGGCGAAACGTTTCCTCAATAAAGATACCCAAGAGTTGCACATGTGTCTAATTTATCAACATGTCGGTTCTCTGAACCATTCATCTACAAAAGTCAACAATAAGGATAAGTGTGATGTTATTATTGTTTTATTGTGCATGTATCATTGTTTTTTGTGTAGGGAAATGTATATTTCATGTAAAAAAATTATTTTGTTTAATACTTTTGGGTGTCTGGAACGGATTAATTGGATTTCCATTATTTCTTATGGGGAAAATTAATTCGGTTAAAGGCTAGCTTTCTGGAATGGATTAAAGGCATTAACCCTTTCAGGGTTTTGGACGTACTAGTACGGCTTACACACCAGTGTCCATGACGTACTAGTACGCATAAATTCTAGCGCCTTCAAATCTAGTGAGAGAAAGCTGGTAGGCCTACATATGAAAGAATGAGTATGTGGTCAGTGTGCGCAGTATGACCTGTTTTTGCAATACTCGTTTGTGCTTAATTGTAATCTGTTTACAATAATGTATTACCACTGAATATATCATTGCTTAATTAATCTTAAGTTAACTTTAAGCCTGCCCATAATGCTCTGCGTACAAGGGGCTTTGGCATGTTACACTTAATTACTGTATTCCTTTGTACTTCTCTGTATCATGTTCAAATGAATAAATAAATAAAAAAAATCCTGCAGCACACAGTGTGTAATGAGAAAAAAAAAAACTTTGACCGTGTTTTTGGATTAAAACAGAGACTTTGCACTATATTTTCGTATGGTATTTATTGTTGTATTCTAGTTTTCCTGATCTCATTGTATAGAATGGAAGACATATTACAGAAATTGAGATGATTTTGACTGGTTTTACGATGAAACGTACCTTGAAATTGAGCTCAAAGTAGCAGAAATGTTTGATTTTTACCAAAGTTCAAAAGTAAACAGATCATGCTAAGTGTCTAATACACGTCAACTGGTGAGTCTAACATTCTTTCACAAGTGCGCCGATATTATTTATACCATTTCTACACTAATGCAGTAGTCTGCATAACAGTAAATCTTATTTTTTTGTGAGAATAAAAATTCAAAGTGGAAAGCAAAAAAAATGTAAGAGGGGCCTGGGGACATAACTAATGAACAGAGGAAATGTTATTTTAGTGCCAGGAATGTCTTTCTTGTTTATTCTGGACCCTATTTGGAAATTGGCATCTTTTGAAATTTGTGTGAAATTGGCAAAATTGCTAAATTATGACCACTGTATTGGATAGTTGAAATCGGTAAATGGGTGGTTTCTTGTACTCATTCAATAGAAAAAATGGAGTTCTAGCGAAATAGTTATGATTTTTGTCGAATAGTACATGGGAATTGGCCGAAAATAGGGCTCAAAGTGGGCAAAATCGCCGATGCGTAAACATCGTTGAGACCGCAACTTTGCGAGAGCATAACTCCGTAAGTTTCCCATTAAATTTCATACTTTTGGTGTCATTATGATTGGGAAAAAATTCTCTATCTTTTCATAAGATTTTTTTTTTTTTTTTTTTTTTTTTTTTTTTTTTTTTTTTTTTTTTTTTTTGAAAATTTGGGGGACCCTGAGAACAAGTCTCTGAGAGGGCCTGTGGACCCTGAAAGGGTTAATTTAGGGTCCACTGTAAGTGCAAAGGACAGTGCTGAGAATAAGAAGAGGGTGATGTCCATTGAATTAAAGCATGAAATCATAGAAGAACACAAGTAAGGTGTGTGTGTAGTCAACTTGGTGAGGCAGTACAAGCGTAGTACTTCTATGATAAGTACCATACTAAAGCAGACGGAGTCAATAAAGACTATAACGCCAGAAATGTTGGGAATCTGGGAGAAACTTTCAGAGTTTATTGAACGGAAACACCAGAAAATTCCTCTGCCTATTTTTTAAAAACCCGTAACAAAAAAATTAAAGTGTTTTTTTTTTAGGGGGATGGAACGGATTAATGGCATTACAATTAATTTCAATGAGGAAAATTGATTTGATATACTATGAGCAAATTGAGTTACGAGCTCGGTCACGGAACGAATTAAACTCAAAAGTCAAGGTACCACTGTACGTATTAGTAAAATATTGTAATTAGAGATTTTTTATAATGCTGGATATTTCTCCACTTGGTAAATTTTAAATAAGAGACAGTACAGTACAATATTGTTAATGCAGTACTTCACAAAATTTCCATGAACATTCCCTTATTTGGGAATGTTTATAAATTGAAGAGCTTTTCTAATTTAAAATTATGACTTTTCTCTTCTTTAGAAAATTCAAAATAAGAAAATATTCTGGATTTGAGAATTCCATATAAAAGTTATAGTATATACTGTATTACAGTAAATGCTACTATGTTTGCCATTGTTAATGATTGGTAGCACAGTATACAAGATATTTTTGTTTCAGGAGCGTCAAACAAAAAGTTGATGTTATTCTAGCTAATTATACTAGTGGCTCTTGGAATACATACCAGCTGACTGATTATGAACCTCCTGGACCTCTCACCTGTGATATGCTTCGACGGTAGGTTATTTTATCCAATTTCCATATTTGCTGGCCATCCCACTGGGTGGGAGATGGCCAGTAAATATGGATATATATTTTGTATGCATGTATGTATGTGAGTGTGTAACTAATTACCTATTTGTAGGTACAAGAGCAGGTACGTCTCGTACTTTTAATTTCTTAAATAGGGATTAGTGTGGGCTGCTTAATACAGCCTCTCCTCACTTGATGACGTACTCATTTACCGACGCCTCGGACTTACAACTGACAATGTGACCAGTATGCATGCCTAAATAATGTATACTAGAGCTGATTTTCTCTATTCTCTGTATTACAATATACAGTACACTACTGTATAAACCAGAAATGTTATAAATGGTTCATAGGTGGCATGAAAACAGTATCAAAGATAGTTGACACAAAGCTACTGCCATTATAGTATGCTCTTCACTTAGTGAAGAATTAGTTTACAGCGTGGTCTTAGAAACATAACTCCGTCATTAAGCGAGGAGAGGCTGTATATGTAAAATAACATACATACAACTAATGTGACATTTTATTGTGTTCTTTTACCTAATATATTGTCAGTAATTGTACCTTTATTACTGCTTAATATTGTTAGCAGTCTGTCCCACATTGTTGTCCTCATCATGATTTGCTATTCACCTATGAAACTGTATGTATTTCGCTCAGGAAATTGTGTTTAAACAAAGATGGCATAAACTCTTTCAGTGTTCTGTCACATAAATTTTGTTCACATTGTCCATTACCACTAGAGTCACTCAGGGTGTGTGACTGCATCAGTACTGTTTGCATCTTTGTTCTGTATATACTGTATATGGAAATGCATTTGTCACAGTCAGTCCATTTTCTGATATTCTCAGTTGCATTAGGAGACATTTTGTAAAGTTGTTTGGTGTTCAATGTAATATTTTTAATATCAACCTTCCCTGTTTCAAGACAAATGTTCATAATCACACTCTTCAAATCATGACTGTTGAATAAGTCTACAGGTGTACTTTCACTCACCTCATCCCATGACCCTTGTGCAGTATACTGTACTGTATATTCCAAATTTTAATTGTATATTCTTACTGGAATGTTTCAAAGACAGTTTTCTGTATATTGGAAGAATATATTCTTATGGCTCTGCTACACTTTGTCTTTAAAGAATGTAATTACACCTTGATGTATGGGCTAAATAAAGGCAGTACCTTTAAGTAGTAGAAAGCCTTTGATAATATTATCTGCAGCCATATTTTTTTAACACATGGATGAGCAGAGCAGTTTATCTCTCAGCAGAATTTTGCAGTCTCAAGGGAACTTGACAGTACTGCAGTGCTCCCTTGTCTTTTTCCTAATAAAGTTTATAAATCATTCAAGTACATATTATGTTTTGTTTAACCCAAGCAGTCTTATTTGCTTTCTAATTCCCTGGGAGGTCAGTGAGCAGATCTTATGCCACACTGAGTACAAAATGACAGAATTTGACCAAGTATTCCAGTTCCAATTATCCTGTTAATCAGATTATAGAATTTTAGTGTTTCATTGTATCATATCTAATTTTTAATCCCTGTATACAGTCTGCTTCCAGTGTGTTAGTGTTCATTTCCTTACCCCTCCTTTATTCAAGAAATGTGTTCTGATATCTCTGGTTTACTTGCATATAAGATAAGAGTAAATGGAGGCAGATAGTTTTTGTGGCCTGACAAGCTGGTGGAGTGTGAGTAAGGTATCATTTTGTGAAGGTATTCATAAAAACTGGTTAGCTGGACTTGAGTCCTGGAGGTAGAAGTACAATACCTACACTCTAAAGGAGGGGTGAGGATATCTGCTGCTTGGAGGGACATCTGAACTGTTATATCTGGCAAGACAGTGATAGTGTGAATGATGGTGAAAGTGTTCAGTTTTCAGATCACCCTAAGTCAGTGAGAAACAGCCAGTGTGTTTTAAAAAAATCAGACTGTGCCATCTAGTTTTGTTACATTCATGGTAAATAATCTGCTCTTGTCTACAGTTCTCTTTGCCTTTGAGTATTTTATGTGTTATGGGTGTGTTCCCATTGTACTCATTTCTAATAGTATTGATAAACTTCATGCCTTGATTCTTGAATCATAGAAAGTGGCTTTCTATATATGTAGTAGTATGCCATTGATGTCAGCTAGGCCTGTATACCTTGTACATGTACTTGTAGAAATAAAGATATATTAAATTATCATATATATATCTATATCAGGAATATGCAAGTGCTCAATGAAACATTCAAGGTTGATGTGAGTTTCTTTCCATCTCATGAGCTGATATATTGGGAACTGAGTCTTGAAGAGAAGGCAAAGTCCATAAGAACAAGAAGTGGAGAAGGATCATCAGCTCAAGAGAGAAAAGCCCCAAAAGCTATAAAATATAAGGTTAGTTTAATAACAAATATACAAAGTTCACAGTTCATTTATATACGCTTGCTCCTGTGTAGTGATACATTATTTTCTATCAGAAAAGCTCAAGAGAGTAAGTCTCTCTTGCATTATGTCTCAGCAATAAATACAGCACTTTACTTGTAAATAGTAATTCCATTTTAGTTGATCTACAGTAAATCCTTGATTAAATGTATTTCAGAGATTACATGCTAAATCAGCTTGGTATATTGTACTGATAACTCCCTTTTTTAATGTTATTATAGTATACATATTTGTAAATTGTGTATATGATTTTGTATTATGCATGCAGTAATGTAGTGCTTTTTTTTACATTTTTTAATATTTCAGTACCATAGATATAACAGACACTTGGACAATATCCTTGTTATTTTGTTCAATCAAGAGTTTAAGTACATTAATTAATTTAGTGTGCATTGTACTGTTGTTTCTTTAAAAATTTATTGTAGGTTAGTAAATACAAATATGAAGCATCCTTTGCATTGGCATATACAGTATCAATTCCTTTTAAATGTGTAAATACAGTAACTATTTTTTTTTTTTTTAAATAAGAGCATAAGAGTGAAGGAACACTGCAGCAGGCTTACTGGGCGATGCGAGGCAGGTCCATGTCACTCTTCAGCTTAGACCAATGACCCACCCAGTCAGGTCACATCCACTTAAGGAAGGAGCATGACATCAGACCTAGTAGCACAAGCTAGTCAGGTCCAACTCACACCCATCCACACCCACTCATGTATTTATCTAGCCTATTTTTAAAACTACACAATGTTTTAGCTTCTATGACGGTACTCGGGAGTTTGTTCCACTCATCCACAACTCTATTACCAAACCAGGGAATACTGTATCATAATACTGAATCATAAGCTTGAGGGGTCCCAGGTTTTCATATGTGGCCAGTTTAGGGTCACAACCAATGGAGTTGGGAACCATGTAATAGATCCATTAAACAATTTCAAGTACAGTTTCTTATTTTAGGCAGGATCTTTTGACATGCTGTTAAAATGCAGTTAAAACAGTGTAGAGATAACAGTACTGTAATAATAACAGTAATGATCAGAAGGGGGTCGAAATATACAGATCAGTCAATCTCATGAGTTTCTGTCTCCATGTGGGTTGTTATTGATTATTGACAAGTGTTCATTACACTTTAGTTATTCATAACAGTAATTTGTGCTTATGATATTGTTGTGTGAAAGTGGCATTGGTAAATATAAATATAGGAAGAATGTTACAACTGATGTTAAAATCAAATTCACTATTGATCTCTTTTCACTGTTGAAAAACTATTATATAATTTACCTTGTAACATTCCTCTACTGCACATACATACATAGTGATACTATATATTCAGAGTCCTGATTTTTACATAATATTTTTAATTTCCAGTTTGCAGTCTGTGACGATGAGGGATTGCTCTTTGCCAACAAAAGTATTCCACTTAAACTACGAAAGACACTGCAAATAATTCTGCACTGCAAGGATTTTAATATAATGGATCTAAGCGGCAGTGATCCAATTAATCTTTTGATGTTGTACAAGCAGTCAAGTAAACGAGCGCCTAATCTATTTAAAGTGCAGGTATTGTTACTGGAACCATGAATAACAGAATTGTTAGCTTTGTTTCATTTAATTTTCTCCATTGACAACCCTTGAAATCTGTGGTGCATCTTTATTAAGAATGACACGATATTGCTTGCTACATAATACATGGCTCTGATAATGGTCAGTCCCCTAGAATAGTCTTAGTACAGTGGCTAAGATTTATTTTTTTTTTTAAATATTCTGTCGTTTTTGCAAAAATACCACAAAATACCATTCTACCATAGTTGATGAGAATATGGACAATGCTTTTAGTTCTTGATTGGAAAAGGTTTTGAGTTCTGGATCTACAGTACTTTACAAAGCGTTTCTCACTAAATAATGCTACCTTAGACCCTAAATATTGCATACATTATATGCAGTCTTATTTATTTATTAGAGAGCTGAGTATTCTATGCCTAGGAATATCATTAGTGATTTTCATATGAGTATTGCTACTGAATAATGCAATATTGATTTACTGTAAACTGTATATCAGTTATTGTATAGTGTATGTGAAATGTAAACAAATGTTTTGTAGGAGATACTGTACAGTGCCATAATTGTATAATATCGTTATTAAAAAATAACATTGTGCATGGCAGTTTGGACACTGATTTATGTTGATTATACCACCAATTTTCTTTATACTGTAGTTTGAAGAAACAATGGCAAATGCAGAAGAGGACATTCAAGTGGGTACTTTCCTAAGAGATGACGCTTTGAATAAAAACACTACAGATAGCATAATTCAACAAAAGCTTGGCTGTCACAAGGAACAAATTCCACTCATAAAGAGAGTTACTGCTACTGTGAAAAATGTCCCTATAAAAACACAGGTCAGTGTAAGGGTTTTTATTCTCTTTAAAATAATATTGGTTGACAAGATGAAGAATGAAAACCTTAAACTGTTTAAGGATGTAGAGGAAACATAGAATGTAATGAAAAGTGCACTCAGGTGGAGAGTAAAAAAGGAAACTAAGAGCATAGAAGATGAAACATTCCCAGTTGTGTAGGTGTCAATGAGGAGGAGGATTTAGAGTTAGGGTATAAGAATGGCACTGACATGAAGAATGCATGTCACAATTTGCTGAATATTAAAAAGCAGTGCTTTTTGTCTCAGTACAGTAGTAGTTTATTTTAGGCTTTTTTTCCTCATGTCAGTAACCAACTGACTTCATAGTCAGTTGGTCAAAATAGTGCAGAGATTGGTCATTTTTACAGTACAGCATATTAAGCATGAGCTTTGTAAGATTATAATAATAATAATAATCTTTATTTCTACAAGTACATGTACAAGGTATACAGGCCTCACTGACATCAATGACATACTACTATATAGAAACCTCCTTGTTATGCAGAGCATTTCAGGTAAATTAGGACAATTTTGTCCCCAGGATGCGACTCGTACCAGTTGACTAACACCCAGGTACTTATTTTACTGCTAGGTGAACAGAGACAGCAGGTGTCTTAAGGAAATTTGTCCTGATGTTTCCACTCATAACAGCAATCGAACCACGGACCTCAGTGTGTGAGCTGAGTGCGCTAGCAATCAGGCTACAGGACACCAGATTGGGAGTGTACTAATCTAATTAGTTCATTCACTAGATAATTACTGCTGTAACACTGAACATTGGGTTTGCCTGTAATGCATTGTTTCATTGGCTTTAGGAAACTATTCATAAACTCTGTGATAGCACTGGTACATTTCCTTCTATTTAACAAATTAATAGAAGAGAAAATACAAACAGTAAAACTTGTGTCACTGTGTATTAATAATATATGCTGTAAAAAACTAAAAAATATACAGATTACCAAAAATAAGGCTGTGTAGTGGCGTCCATCCAGGAATGTTTGGACACTAGATTGCCACTCATTGTCGTTGAATATTAGACTAGCTGCTCACATCAGAGAGGTCTGGGAATCTAGCCTCTGGTACTCTTCTTTATAGGCTACATTGTGTTTATGTTTCATAATAATATTTCATGTCTAATTTTTTGAGACCTAGTCTGATACTGGGTTGCAGGGGCTATGCTCCCCAGAAGTATGACAGATATAACATAGTACATTATCTATTAATCTGTTTAAATATAATTATTCTTTTCAGGCTCCAGCACTAAAACATTTCCGATTATCTTCATTGGAGTTGGAGGTTCATGCTCCTTCAGTCTTCCATATATACAAGGAGCTTGGAGAGCGAGGAGTGATTAAAGATATTCCTCCATGGCTAGGAAAGATGAGAGCCAGTGGGAAAACACACTGTGTAGCCCAGTACAACTGAAATTTTACCTTTGTTCCATTGTTCAGTAACAATGGCTGAAGCTTATTACATTCTCAGCAAATCTGTTTGTAAGTTATAACTGTATCCACTGCATGAAACTACAATTCATTTTTCATATACTGTACAGCACAGTTATAATGATAATAGTGGTAAATACTAATACTGAACTGGAAAATGTTGATACAGTATATGGTGTGTTGTCAGCATTTTAGCTTTTATACAAGCACCAAATATATATATATATGTATATATATATGTACATGTATATATATATGTATGTCTCCATGGGGAAGTGGAACAGAATTCTGCCTCCGTAAGCCATGCGTGTCATAACAGGCGACTAAAATGCCGGGAGCAAGGGGCTAGTAACCCCTTCTCCTGTCTACATTATTAAAGTGAAAAAGAGAAACTTTTGTTTTTCTTTTTGGACCACCCTGCCTCAGTGGGAAACAGCCAGTTGGTTGAAAGAAAGAAGAATATATATACGTATTTTTTTTTTTTTTAACACTTAGGCCATTTCCCACCGAGGCAGGGTGATCCAAAAAGAAAGAAAAAACTTTCATCACCATTCAACACTTTCACAATCAGTCATACATAATCACTGTCTTTGCAAGGCGCTCAGATACGACAGGCGTGCGTGTGTGTGTTCGATAGGAGTGAATGGAGACGAATGGTATTTGGGACCTGACGATCTGTTGGAGTGTGAGCAGGGTAATATTTAGTGAAGGGATTCAGGGAAACCGGTTATTTTTATATAGCTGGACTTGAGTCCTGGAAATGGGAAGCACAATACCTGCACTCTAAAGGAGGGGTTCAGGATATTGACAGTTTGGAGGGATATGTTGTGTATCTTTATATGTATATGCTTCTAAGCTATTGTGTTCTGAAATCCTCTGCAAAAACAGTGATTATGTGTGAGTGAGGTGAAAGAGTTGAATGATGATGAAAGTATTTTCTTTTTGGGGATTTTCTTTCTTTTTGGGTCACCCTGCCTCGGTGGGAGACGGCCGACTTGTTAAATAGGAGTGAATGGAGACGAATGGTATTTGGGACCTGACAATCTGTTGGAGTGCGAGCAGGGTAATATTTAGTGAAGGGATTCAGGGAAACCGGTTGTTTTTATATAGCTGGACTTGGGTCCTGGAAATGGGAAGTACAATGCCTGCACTTTAAATTTCAGGAGGGGTTTGAGATATTGGCAGTTTGGAGGGATATGTTGTGTATCTTTATATGTGTATGCTTCTAAACTGTTGTATTCTGAGCACCTCTGCAAAAACAGTGATAATGTGTGAGTGTGGTGAAAGTGTTGAATGATGATAAAAGTATTTTCTTTTTGGGGATTTTCCTTCTTTTTTGGGTCACCCTGCCTCGGTGGGAGACGGCCGACTTGTTGAAAAAAAAAAAAAAAAATATATATGTGTGTGTGTGTGTGTGTGTGTGTGTGTGTGTGTGTGTCTGTCTGTCTGTGTGTGTGTCTGTGTGTGCGTGTGTCTGTGCGTGCATGCGTGCGTGTGTGTGTGTCTGTGTGTGTGTGCGTACTCACCTAATTGTGGTTGCAGGGGTCGAGACTCAGCTCCTGGCCCCGCCTCTTCACTGATCACTACTAGGTCCTCTCTCTCTCTGCTTCCTGAGCTGTATCATACCTGTTCTTAAAACTATGTATGGTTCCTGCCTCCACTACTTCACTTGCTAGGCTATTCCACTTCCTGACAACTCTCTGACTGAAGAAATACTTCCTAACGTCCCTGTGACTCGTCTGAGTCTTCAGCTTCCAGTTGTGACCCCTTGTCCCTGTGTCCCCTCTCTGGAACATCCTATCTCTGTCCACCTTGTCTATTCCCCGCAGTATCTTGTATGTCGTTATCACGTCTCCCCTGACCCTTCTGTCCTCCAGTGTCGTCAGTCCGATCTCCCTCAACCTTTCCTCGTACGACATTCCCGTGAGCTCTGGGACTAGCCTTGTTGCAAACCTTTGTACTTTCTCTAACTTCTTGACGTGCTTGACCCAAAGGGGTGGGTTCCAGACTGGTGCTGCATACTCCAGTATGGGCCTAACATACACAGTGTGCAGTGTCTTGAACGATTCCTTATTAAGGTATCGGAACGCTATTCTCAGGTTTGCCAGGTGCCCATATGCTGCAGCAGTTATTTGGTTGATGTGTGCCTCCAGTGATGTGCTCGGTGTTATTGTCACCCCAAGGTCTTTCTCCCTGAGTGAGATCTGTAGTCTTTGTCCACCTAGCCTATACTCTGTCTGCGGTCTTCTTTGCCCCTCCCCAATCTTCATGACTTTGCATTTGGCTGGATTGAATTCGAGAAGCCAGTTACTGGACCACATGTCCAGCCTGTCCAGGTCTCTTTGCAGTCCTGCCTCATCCTCATCCGATTTAATTCTTCTCATCAACTTCACATCATCTGCGAATAGGGACACTTCAGAGTCTATTCCTTCCATCATGTCGTTCACATATATCAAAAATAGCACTGGTCCTAGCACTGACCCCTGTGGGACCCCGCTCGTCACAGGTGCCCACTGTGATACCTCTTCACGTACCATGACTCGTTGCTGCCTCCCTGTCAGGTATTCCCTGATCCATTGCAGTGCCCTCCCTGTTACATGCACCTGATCCTCCAGCTTCTGCACTAATCTCGTGCGGAACTGTGTCAAAGGCCTTCCTGCAGTCTAGGAAAACGCAATCTACCCACCCCTCTCTCTCGTGTCTTACTCCTGTTACCTTGTCATAAAACTCCAGGAGGTTTGTGATACAAGATTTGCCTTCCATGAACCCATGCTGGTTTTCATTTATAATCTTGTTCCTTTCCAGGTGTTCGACCACTCTCCTCCTGATAATCTTCTCCATGACTTTGCACACAATACATGTCAGAGACACAGGTCTGTAGTTTAGCGCCTCGTTTCTGTTTCCTTTCTTAAATATGAGGACTACATTAGCTGTCTTCCATTTCTCAGGTAGTTGCCCAGTTTCAAGGGATGTGTTGAAGATTGTGGTTAGAGGCACGCACAGCATCTCTGCTCCTTCTCTAAGGACCCATGGGGAGATGTTGTCCAGTGCCATCGCCTTTGAGGTATCAAGGTCACTTAGGAGCTTCTTCACCTCCTCAGTTGTTCGTATGTCATCCAACACCTGTTGGTATATTCCCTCTTGATGTTCCCTTCTGTGCTGTCTTCCCACAGCCCTTCCTGTCTCTACTGTAAAAACTTCCTTAAATCTCCTGTTCAGCTCCTCACATACCTCCTGATCATTTCTTGTGAGTTCTCCACCTTCTGTCCTTAATCTGATCACCTGGTCTTTGACTGTTGTCTTCCTCCTGGTGTGGCTATACAACAGTTTCGGGTCAGTCTTGATTCTCGATGCTATGTCATTTTCATACTGTCGCTGGGCCTCCTTCCTTACTTGTGCATACTCATTCCTGGCTCTGCGACTGATCTCCCTATTTTCGTGTGTTCTCTGCCTTCTGTACTTTTTCCATTCTCTATTGCACTTTGTTTTTGCCTCCTTACACTGTCGGGTAAACCAGGGGCTCGTTCTGGTCTTCCCGTTGTTACTGTTGCCCTTGGGAATAAACCTTTCCACTGCCTCCTTGCATTTTGTTGTTACATATTCCATCATTTCATTTACTGGCTTTCCTGCCAGTTCTCTGTCCCACTGGACCTCCCGCAGGAAGTTCTTCAATCCTATGTAGTCCCCTCTTTTATAGTCAGGCTTTTCCCATTCAACTCCTGTTATTCTCTCCACTTGCAGCTCTACTATGTATTCAAAGCACAGAACCACGTGGTCGCTAGCTCCTAGGGGACTCTCATACTTGATGTCCTCAATGTCTGAGCTGCCCAGGGTGAACACAAGGTCCAATCTTGCTGGTTCATCCTCCCCTCTCACTCTGGTAGTGTCCTTAACATGTTGGTGCATGAGGTTTTCCAGCACCACGTCCAACATCCTGGCTCTCCATGTTTCGGGACCCCCATGTGGCTCCAGGTTTTCCCAGTCAATCTCCCTGTGGTTGAAATCCCCCATAACCAGCAACTTTGCTCTGCTGGAGTGAGCTCTTCTTGCCACCTCAGCAAGTGTGTCCACCATTGCTCTGTTGCTCTCTTCATATTCCTCTCTTGGCCTCCTTCAGTTCTGTGGTGGATTATACATCACTGCAATGACCACTTTGTGTTCCCCAGACTGAAGTGTACCTACTATGTAGTCTCTTTCTCCCGTCTCATCTATGCCTTCCATTGTCTCGAATTTCCATCTGTTTTTTACGAGCAGAGCAACCCCACCTCCCCCCTGCCCATTCTATCTTTCCTCATGATCTGGTATCCTGGTGGGAAGATTGCATCTGTTATTGTCTCCATGAGTTTTGTTTCTGTAACTGCTATGATGTCTGGGGACTTCTCATTGATTCTTTCTTGCCATTCCTCATGTTTATTCGTTAATCCATCTGCATTTGTGTACCAAACCTTCAACTTCTGTTCTAATACTGTAACTGTGGTGCGGGGGGTGGGAACAGAGGGATCGGTGTTTGTAATGGTTGGTTTGGATTGTTCAGTTGCCTTGGGGGTGTCATGACTGGAGTCCTTCTGCAGGTGTTTCTGGGGGGTGTGCTTGTCCTTCCATTTGATCCTGGGTTATTCTGCTCTCCTTTTTCATTTCCTCCCATTTCTCCTTTCGTTTTTGAACTCTCTCTTTCATCGTCTTCCTTTCATCCTGTGTTCTGTCTCGATCGAGGTACACACTCCGGAACTCCTGCTTGCCTCTCAGCCGTGCTTTCTCCTGCAGGATCATGGTTCGGGTTGATTCTGCCTTGAAAATTACTTCGAGAGGCCGATTCCTTTTCTTTGTGAACCACCCAATTCTCCGAAAATTTGCCACCTGGGTCATGTCCCCCTCGCCTATCACCTTCATGATATCTTCAATCGCTTTTTTCTCCTCCTGCTTTCTTTCATCATAAGTTTCCCCTTTAGCTTCGTCTAGCCCATAGACAAACACGGATCTCTCCCTTTCCACCTCCCACTGTGACTCCCATTGCATCCTCTGATGTGTTTTAGTTCCTTCCCATGGAG